CCCGAGCCGGCGGCTGAGGGAAGGGGGACAGCCCTCACGTACCTGAGCGCGGCGTCAGGGCCCGGCTTCCGCGGCCAACACCATCCCCGGCGCCGGCCCGGGGGGGAGCGGCGGCGGTGGCGGCTCCTCCTTCCTCCTCCTCCTCCTCCTCCTCCTTCTCCCTCAGCGGAGCTCTCGCGAGAGCCCAGGCGGGACCGGGACGTGACCCGCCGAGATCTCGCGAGATTTTAGCTGGGGCGGCGGGGACGCTGTTTGCCGCCGGGAGGGCGGCGCCATGTTGGGGCTGCCTCTGAGGGGCCCCCTCAGGCAGCGCCGCCATATTGGGGCGCTCCCTCAGCGCCAGCGGGGTGCCTCAGGGGAATTGATGTTGTTAAAGTTATCTGTCCCCAGGCCGAATTTTCTCGCCTTTTATGAACGGAATCACAGAATCATTAAGGTTAGGAAAGACCTCTGTTATAAATGGAATTGAAGTTTAGACAGATAAGTCTACTAATAGCAATTTAATAACAAGGAAAAAAATGATACAGTTTAGTGAATTGAATACGAGAATACAATTTAGTAAAAGAATGCAATTTAGGGAATTGGTATAAAAGGAATACAGTTTTAATTAAAAAAGTACAATTTAGTGAATATATTCATATATATATATATATATGAATATAGCTTGCTAGTAATTAAGTATGATTAAAGCATAAGCAAAATCAACCAGGGTACAGGGAGGGCTTTCACCCCACCTCATGTGTGAAACCAACCAGGGTACTGGGAGGGTTTCTCACCCTACCTCAGGTACAAAACAAAGCAATTCAAACTAAACTTTTATACTGTACACTTGTACATATTCATTAATGTTTCCTCTAAGTCTCCTCCTATTTCCAATTCTTTAATTTTACGTCACTCTTCCTCATGGCACATGCCTTATTTGTTGTTAGGGGGTCTTCAGTCTTCTTTTGGTGGTCTTTGGACGAAGGCTTACACTCATCCTTATTGTCTTCTGGATAACTTCACAGGTTGTGGGTGCATACTAAGCCTTGTGTTATGTAAGTAAACATTATGTTCCACTAATTAGTCTTACATTTTATTATTTTCAGGCCCTATGCCTAAAGTCGTTCCAACTTTATCTATCTCAAGGTCAATTTTGTCTTAGGACATTACTTATCTCAAAACTACATCCTGTACCTTACTTTTAACATCTGTAAAGGGGTACATCTGCCTTGTAACACAAATTCCCTTGGTTGTTTCTAATAATAACTTTCCAAATAGTTACAATTTAGTTAGCACAAATCGTTTCCATTTATTACACCTCTGAGATCATCGGGTCCAATCTTTGGTCGTCACCATGTCACCCAGACTTGCGGCTCCCAGTGCTGCTTCCACTCATTCCTTAAACACTTCCAGGAATGGCGAGCCCACCACATTTTTGGCGAGGCATTTCCAATAAATTTCCTTTTTTTACCGTCCCCTCACACTGCTCTGGAAAGGGGGGAGGTGATTCAGCCACAATATAAATTATGCTGAGACTATGGCTAATAGCAACACACCAAGAGGGAGGAAAACCAGCAATTGTCAGGGGCATTTCAGGAGCAGAGCTTAACCAGGCTGCAGCATTTGCCTTGGTGCCTGCTTAAATTAATCAACTATTTGTATATTCCAGCAGCAGATGAGTGGAAGACTAGTGAATTAGATAGAGTAATCAATCAAAATGTCAATAACATCAATATGCAATAGTCAATCAAATGAAATATCAATCATATTGTAAAAAATGGAGTAATGTGTCAGGATTTTTTTAGAAGTTTAATAGGGGATAAAATAAGAGACAAAAGTCCAGCACTGGGGTGCTCTTTGCAAACAGCCAAAGAACACATGGGGGTGCAGTCCCCACAGTGTTACCTTTATACTGTTACAATACTGAGGTACATGCCTTTCATAGAGTTCATACATTATTCAAACATTCTTGTGAACTTTTTGATGTTATGGGAATTCTTCTGTTTGGCTTCTTCACACTCTGGCTTATCTGCATGACATCCTGTGTGTCAAGTTAATATATTTTATTCCTCCTTGTGTCTCCATCCTGTTGTTTTCGCATCCTCTGACAAGGATTTAGTAGGTCCCCTTTAAATTTAACATGGTATTTTCTAATTGTCCTCCGGTGCTCTGGTTTGTGTCACAGTTATCACTTGGAGAATTCAGTCAGCAGAAAAGGGAGGGTAACAAGATTGTTTTACACCATTTGTTTGGTTACATAGAGGTATTTTAACACCCAGTATTTAGCTAATGCCTATAATACTGTATATTCACCACACTGCTGTTTCTAAACTGGTACATTATACTATCAAACAGCTAAATAAAGGTATATGTGATACTAAATTCTTATGATCAGTGCAAAAACTGATATATAAATGTGAAATCCAATGTCATATTGTAGTCCTTTTTTAATATAGAAGCACAACTCCATCTGATGGAATCTGTGTAAAAATGGTAAGAGTGCATTTAGTAATGGAGAGTGAATACTTGGGTGTTGTAACTAGACTGCCCAAAAACTTCAGACATTTTCACAGTTCTGTTCAATCAGCCCTCCCAACTGTAAAATAGGTAAAATAAACTTAAGTTCTTCCATTTGGTAGCTTCCACTAAATAAGGGAGCCAGGACTTAGCCATTGAAGCAGCATCTGGGTTAGGTGTGGTAAGGCCAAGCTGGAGACCTGAGACAAGGGAAGTTTGGCAGACAGCTTCTGAAATACTCACTGCATCCTAAACATTCACCACAATGATACCACTACCCCTTCCCCCCCAAAAAACTGCATCTGAGCTTACTGACATCTAGTTAAACCAGCACAAAACTGCTGCTTAGAGCCCTTTCTTCCCTCCTTATGCTTTTCTTTCCAGATACAGGTATAGTTTGGGTAACAGGGCACGGCAGCTTTGGCCAGGAATGTCCTGAAAACACCCTCCTCCTCCCACAGGTGCTGGCTGTATGTAGGTCCCAGAGAGGGATTTCTTGCAAGCCTCCAAAAGCGAGGGGTGAAATCGGGAGCAGGACCAGGAGGTGGGTCCCAAAGCAGGTACCGATGGCATCTGCCTGCAGGGAGATGCCAGGTCACAGAGCAAAGCGTTCCCGAAGCCTGGCTCTTTCGGAGAATGAGCCGTGCCTCGCTGGAGACAAACCCCGGATTCCATGGGAATTCCGGACACGCCTTCGGGGCTTTCCCTGCCCTTGGGAGGTGCTGGCCCCAGGGCATTTCCCTCCGGACGGGTTTTCATTGCCTCGGGTGCTGCTCCTGACATCAGACGGCAGCACATGGGTAGCGCCTGGAGCGTGGCCAAGTGACGGAATCTATTAAAGCTCTCCAAAAAAAACCCAACATCCCGGCTTTTCTCCTCTCCCCGTCCCCAGATTAAAAGCAACGAGGTGCCTTTTGGGCAATATCCTTGCAAGGATGTGCAGGCTGTGGTATTGCAGAAAAGCAGAGTGAAAACACGCGATGGCAGCTTACCTAAGTTGTTACCTACTTTAGTTTTCATATGAAATAGCACTTAAGAAAATAATTTACACAGGCAAATATGCAGAATATACTCTTTAATAAATAGCAGGTAAAAAAATAGATTTTCTTAAAAACATTTCGAGAACCAGAAAAACAAAGGTACCGTGTAAATAAGCATTTTCACGTTCTTTCAGGAAGGGCATTATCCCGAGCCAATAATTTAAAGAGGGGGGGGGGGGGGGGGGGGGGGGA